TGTAATACCAGCACTTTGGGAGGCCGAGGCGGGTGGATCACGAGGTCGAGAGATCGAGACCATCCTGGTCAACATGGTGAAACCCCGTCTCTACTAAAAATACAAAAAACTAGCTGGGCGTGGTGGCGCGTGCCTGTAATCCCAGCTACTCAGGAGGCTGAGGCAGGAGAATTGCCTGAGCCCAGGAGGCGGAGGTTGCGGTGAGCCGAGATCGCGCCATTGCACTCCAGCCTGGGTAACAAGAGCGAAACTCCATCTCAAAAAAAAAAAAAAAAAAAAAACTACGAAGGTTATAAGATAGACAGAAAAATATTGAATACCTTTGATAAGTAAATGTAAAGTGATCCTGAATTGGATTTTGGACCACAAACAGAAAAGAGACATTGTTGAAGCAGCTTGCAAAATCTGAATTTAGTATGTGGCTTAGATGGCGGTAATGTCCATTTCCTAATTTGTATGGCATTTGATGGTTTTGGGGAGAGTGTCCACATTTTAGGGGAATACACACTGGAGTATTTAGATTAAGTGATGAGACATCGTGCCACAGCTTGCTCTCAAATGGGTCAAAAAAAGACTAATGACATACATACACACATACATATAATTCAATATAGAATATGTAACAATATATCCATATTACATATTTATGTAGCATCTGTAATTAGATATTAAATATGTAAGTATATATTTATTATATACTAATATATATTTCTATTGTTTTATGTATATATATTTAGAAAAGAATGAGATGGAACAAATATGGGAAAATGTTTATGTTTATTTATATAGAGATAGAGCAAAAGATAAACTGCAGGCGAGGCTCATGCCTGTAATCCCAGCACTTTGGGAGGTCAAGGCGGGTTGATCACTTGAGGTCAGGAGTTCAAGACCAGCCTGGCCAACGTGGTGAAACCCCATCTCTACTAACAATACAAAAATGAGTCAGGTGTGGTGGTGCACGCCTGTAATTCCAGCTACTCAGGAGGCAGAGGCAGGAGAATCGAGTGAATGTGGGAGGTGGAGGTTACAACGAGCCCAGATCGTGCCACTTCACTCCATCCTGGGAGACAGTGAGACTCAAAAAAAAAAAAAAAAAAAATTGAACACAGCAATCTCAGAAAAGGTGATACAGTTCTTTGTGTTACTCTTGGAACTTCTCTGCAAGTTTGACATTATTTCAAAATAAGTGATTTAAAAAGAATACCTGTGCATTTAAATAGTTGAATAAGTAACAAACACTTGCATTTTTAGTGGAATATGTGGATTTCATATGAAAAATATTTCCATATTTCAATACTCTTTCTAGGAATTCTGGAACTTGGAAGGCAGGGGGTGAGTTATATAGTCTTTTTCAGCCCCTATAAAAATGTTATATAACCAGAAAATGCCAAAAAGAAAGAGTTGTCTATTCTCTCTCCAAATTCCCAAATTCTCCTTTTAGATTAGCCACTGAATCGATTAACTTTACTAACACAATGGCCCACACAGTAAATCCATAGTCGAACTTCATAAAAGTAGAATCTGCTTTCCCCTGGATCAAAGGTGAGCTCTTCTGTGCAGTAATTAATTTCAAATATTTTTAAAAAGCCTTTGCTGTATAAAAAAGCAGTATTCTATTATTACCCAAAACGGTGTAGTCTTCTTTACAATCCCTGGCTTAGATTTTATCACAATTTGCTATTTTTTTCTGTATAGAAAATTTTCTCTAAATTGTTATATCTTTAGACACACACACACACACAGAGTTTTACTCAGCACTTTTAGCATACAAAAGACTTTGTGATCATTTTTTCACTTCTTTATCTGACAAAGATCCAACATTCTCCCCTTTTTTTGGGGGGAAAATTGAGGGTGAGGCTGTTTAAATGACTTGCAATTTACCTAGTAGAAGGTTACTGACAAACCAAGACTAGACTTTAGAGTCTTTTCACTCTACAACACAGAAGGATCTAGGCTAGGTTATTCTTCCTTTAAAATACATGTATACCAGGCACACTTATTAAGATTGCACTTTGCCTCTGTATGTCTTTAGGAGAAGAATTTAGGCCTACTGACGAAAAAGCTAATTTGCAAGGCATCTCTTTGCATTGCAAAGATATACTAATAGATCACTGAATGCTTTGCAATTGTATTTTTGCTTGCCTGTTGTAACAGGGTTTTAAAAGGTTGACATTCACAAAACAAAGGCTTCTTTTACCACCATAGTAAAAATGTTCACATTCAACTATAACTAGAAAGTGTACAATCATTTACAGAGAAATCTCTGAAAGTTTTGCTAGTGTAAGACAATTTTGATTAAAATACAATGCTCTTACTAGTTATCATAGATGTTAACATATGATATTACACATTTCATCTAGCTGTTATAATGCATGTATCCCCAACACTGTGGTAGTTTTATGTTTTCTCCCAATGTTTTCATATGCTGACAGGCATTTACTTAAATTTTATTTTATTTATTAAATACCTGTGTAGAACTTACTACGTGCCTGGTCCTATTCTAAGCAGTTGAGGAATAATGAATGCATTTTATCCTCACAAAACTCCCTGAGGACATTACTATTACCATCCTCCAGTTCACAGATGGGGGGCATAGAGAAGATTCAGCAACATGTCCACGGATACACGGTGGTAAACTGTAGAACTAGAATTCCAGCCCAAGCAGTTCACCTCCCAAATTCGTGTTCATAACCAATGCGTCATGCTGTGCTAAGCCTCAGATTTACAGGTGTTGGATAATTATTTGTTGATTAAATGAACAGATTACTCTCTTGTCTCTTAGGCCAATTTGAAAGCATTAAGCAAATTACCCAATTGTTCTGTAACTTAATTTTTCACTTTGTAAAACAGAATGGATAAGATTTGCCATCCGTTTCTCTTCCAAACAACAGTTAAGAATGGAGAGCATTTACTTTACCTACCTGCTATATGTTTTTATGTCTTTAAGACTGGATCTGCAGTGGATCTAGAGCAGGCTCACAGCATATACCTTAAACAGGTAACAAAACCACAATTCAGTACAATTAAGTTGCTTTCCATGTGAATGAGCATGAAGTAGACAGGCAAAAGTTAGAGAACTTCAACCTCCTTACACATGAACTTCATTTCCATTTAACTCTGAACTGGACTCTCTTTTGTTCAGTTAAATCGGAATTTGTTTGTATAAAATAATAGTTAAAATAAATGAGATGTCATCTAGGGCTTAGATTATGTGATCTAATCAAAATATCAAGTTATAGATCTTCCAAATGAAAATGCTTTCTTCTTACAACATACATGTCTAATATTTAAAAATGATCATGACCTGCTAGGGATAACACAGGAAGTTTCTGTGCCAAGGGTCCTTACTCCATCTCTGTCTATCCACGCTCTTTATTTTGTCCCTACACATTCCATTAGGTTCCTTATTGATTGTAGCAATGGCATGAAAATAAATTCAAAACAAGACTCACTAATGTTTTGTCTTTTAGAGATAGGATCTGGATCTTGCTTTCTTGCCCAGGCTGGAGTGCAGTGGTACAGTCATGGCTCAATGTAGCCTCCAAGTCCTGAAGACCCACTACTGGTAGCAGCAAGGGCAGATAGCTGGTCCAAGCACTCTTGTGTGCTTTTGAGCAAGTCACCTATCCTCTCTCAGTCTCAATCTCCTGAAAAATGAGGCTAATAACCAAGGCTGCCCTGTCTACCTCCAGGGTTGTCAGGAGGGTCAGAGGAATTAGTGAAACAGCTTTGAAAACTGCCCTCTACCATTATGAAGAAGTTAATACTAAAGATCAGTTTTGAAAATTTTTTCAAATATAGACATTTGCTTTTGCATTATATGCACATGAAAAATTGTCCATGTACATTCTTGGCCTGGACTTCCAAGTGGAATGGGTTCAGAAAAGAAACAGAATTTGACTTAATCTTTTAAAAAGGTGAGATTTCGGATGCTTAATGTCTGAAGACTGAACTCCTGGTGAATGAGAAAAAGAAAATGACAGACCTGAAGTCAGATGACCACAGGGCTACACAGATGTGTCTGAGATGAGAACAGTCTTTGCTAAGGTCTACAGAGATCATTCGCGGTGCTTTGCCTTACAGGGAGATGACCTTCTGATTCCATCCATGACAGCTGTAACAGTATACTGAAGAATTTATCGAAGATCTGTGAATTGCATGTGCTCTCGAGACATAAAGATGAAATGTACCAAAGACCCTGTGTTGTTATTAAAGAGCACTGACAAAGTTGTTAGCAAGGTCCAAAAAGTGGACAGAGAAGAAAATTTAGGCAACAGGTTAACCAAATACTGACTGCAAAGGAATCCAACAAGGATCTCTCATATTTTCTCTTCTGTTCAGAAACTTTGGAAGCCAACTCATGTACCCTTTCACAATCTGACATGTGTGTGGCTAAAGTTGTACAAAAGACTGGGTAATGAGTGCTGTCAGAAGTGGCCTGTCCTATGACTTATTTAATTTCGATCACTTCCATGATAACAGAATGCACACCTTGCCCTCACCAAGCATCTGGCACAATCCAGCCCTGCTTACTAGGGAAACTTGGCAAGCCAGAGTTTTCAGAGTGGAAAGGCAACCTATTATCTCTACTAAAAAAAAAAAAATCTAAATCTCAAGGTGCTTGACCTACTGATGTCAGCATCACCTTTACATGCCAGGAACAAATTATTACAGAAGACCATAACCTAGAACACCCAGCTGGAAGTTAATGAATCAGGGAAGAAGACTAATGACACTGCGCGGTACATTCCTCCGAGGCAGGGACCGCGTCCGCTCTCCTTCGGGTGGGAGTGGAAGTGCCGTGAGCACAGTGGGCACGCTGCTGATAAGGCTGTCTGGTCAGTTGAGGACACAGGTCTCCAAGGAAAGCCCTGGCCTCTCTTAGAGTGTGGATGGGGAAGGTGGGAGTAGGAGCTCAGCCTCAGCGCGGGTGTGTAGACGCCCTGCCACTACTGAAATCCCTTTTAAGGCTGCGCGGCAGACCTGAAAGGGGTGAGATTTCAGTGCTGTGTGTGTGACAAGTCTTGGGTGAGGAGCGGGACCCTGGCCCTCATTCCCAACGCCACCACCCCCTGGAGTCTGAGGTTCCACAGGCCAGGCAATGAAGGGAAGTAGCCCACACACTTCAACCCGGGGCCACAGTTGGAGGTGGGGGGATCTAAGAAACACCCCGCCGATGAGTTTCTGAGTAGGGAAGTGGACCGGGAACAGCGCATTTCCTGCTTCGCCTGTGCGATTCCCAGGCGGGGCCGAGCGGGAACGGGGACGCGGTCAAAGAGTCGCCCGCTGCCAGGGCGGGGTTGGGGGGGCAGCCTTGAGAAGACTCGGTGGGACAGGGGAGGGATGCGCGCGGAGGGAGGGGGAGAGGGCATCCAAGCAAAATGTATGCTCCCATTCTCGAGGGGAAAATACCCTCTCTCCGTCGCCCCCCTCCTTTTTTTTTTTTTTTTTTTTTTTTTGTCCCTAAGGAGAGGCCCGCACAGCCGAGGAGCAACGCAGGAGCTGTGTGGGACCCGCGCTGCAGCATCTGCCGGGCTCCGACCTGGTGGGAGCCTCCAAGGCCCGGGACGCGCGGCGGCAGAGCTGGTGGCCGCGATCTTCCGGGCCACTCCTTCCTCCCTACCCCTCCCCTCCCGCCCGCGACCTTCGACCTCCATCCCGGACCCACGGGGGACTGGCCCCGGGAAAGGGAGGAGATGTGAAAGGTATCTAGGGGCGCGGCGCCGCCGCCTAGACGGCGCCGGGGCTCGAGGTGCGAATCCGCGGCGTCCGGCTGCGCGGCCCTACCTGGGAAGTGCGGGACCCTCCGCCGCTCTCCGAAGCCGCGCGCCACCTCGAGCCGGGCTCCGGGCGGCAGCCGCCCGCGCACGATTTTTAAATGCAAAGGCCTTATTGCTGTTCTTTGTTCCAGGGATACCATTGTCTAGTCGTCCACGGGCCTCTCGGAGTTTTCCCAGGGTTTGCGGCGCGCACTCTCCTCCCCCGCCCCCACAGACTCGCTCTCCAGAGCCAACCCGGATCTGCCTAGGTGCCCACGATCCTTCCCGATCGACTTGAGTGTCCTTCCTCCAGCTCCTGCTTTCCCAGCATCGAAAACACAAAAGCCTGCCGGAAATCACCCAGCCTTTGCCTGGTCACTCAGGGGCCCAGGGATAAGCGTGGCTCCGATTTTTCCAGGTCAGCCCCACCGTTTGCCACCTACCCGAGTTAATTTCTGCGCCCGCTGACCAAAGGCCCCTACTGGCCAGAGGTACAGCTTCTTGGTGCGCTAGTCGCTTCCTTGCTCAGCCTTTCGAGCCTCCCGGGGAAGTGAGCGTAATTAGTAGCCAGGAGCCCTGCGACCCTGACTGCTGTGCGAACGCACCAGGCCGGCTACGAGAGCTTTGTACTCGGCTCTTTCTTGTGAAACTTGTTCCCCTCCACCCCCCTGCGTAAAACTCTCGTGTTGAGAAAAGCAAGGCTTGCAGGAAGCCACTCCGGATGTTTGCTGCTTTACATGTGGCATTTGTGGCTGGCTCTGATAACATCCCGGGTTACCGCGTATTAAAGTGAAGAGACTGAAATAGAAGACTCCACATACAACCGCGCGCGGGTCAGTGACGCCGCAGCCCTCCACACTGCCCCCCGAAAATACGTGACAAGCGAAGGATCAGAAGAAATGACATCTAGGTCACAGTATGTAAAAGGGACTAGTTTTGGAAAGCCACCACAATTCCTCCCTGGTAAATTTGTAAACTGCGACTTTATGATCCCAGGAAGGGTTTTATAAGAAGTGGGGGGAGAGGCGCCAAAATCTGAAGCTCTTACTCCAAACTAGGATGTGTACTTTCACCTGATTTCTCTTAACCCATCAAGATCAGTCCCCAGGAACAAGGGCAAATAAAAATAGGGAAACCCTGCCGGGCGCAGGTGGCTCAAGCCTGTAATCCCAGCACTTTGGGAGGTCGAGGCCGGCGGATCACCTGAGGTCAGGAGTTCGAGAACTGCCTGACCAATATGATGAAATCCCGTCTCTACTAAAAATACAAAAACTAGCCGGGAGTGGTGGCCTGCGCCTGTAATCCCAGCTACTCGGGAGGCTGAGACAGGAGAATCGCTTGAACCCGGGTGGTGGAGGTTGCAGCAAGCAGAGATCGTGATCGCACTCTAGCCTGGGCAACAAGAGCAAATCTTCGTCCGAAAAAAAAAAAAAAAAAAGAAAAGAAAGAAAGAAAGAAAAGAAAAGAAAAAATAAATAGGGAAACCCCGCGTTTTCTTTCCTCATCATTTTCTCGACCTTCTTGGCTCCCAGGCGCACCTCCCCTGATAACCGACAGGGTGATGAAGAGCACGAGGATGAAGAAAGCATACAAGGCTAAATCTGTGCATGTACATTTTTTGGATTGTGTGTTTCCTGTAGTCTTTTTAAAAAGGAATTAATGAAACAGATTAGAAAGATAAAAATGGATTCTGGATTCCAAGCAAAATGTTTATTCAGTGTTTATTCTAGGAAAACTCAGTTCATAAAAGATTTTGCGTTAAGAGAAAATTCTACTTTGAGATCTTTGAAAAATATTTATTATCCAGAAAAGTTAGAAAAGATGTTTTTTTTTAAAAAAAAGCAAAAAGCAAAGTACTACGGGGTTAATTTGTAGATTACTCTCCCTCCTATAGTTTTTTTGCTTATTTAACCATTTGTAAAATGTTTTGGCTTTATTCTGAAGCCCTTTTTTTTCCAGAAAAAAATAAAGCTTTAAAAGTACATCATCATTTAAATTTGTCTAAAATCAACTGCTTTCAAAACTACCAAATAAAAGTAACACCCTCCATGATTTCTTTACGCAGATTTAATTTTTTTTCTTGTCTGAATCTTAGAGACCCAGGAGCTAGAAACACTTTCTTAACTTGTCCCCTAGCCAAGGCTTCACAGCTACTTGCAGAATTAAAGATAAGTTGGCTTAAAACAATTGTGCAAGAGTTCTTTTGAGAAAAAGCAATGCCAGGGAAACTGAAGGCCAGGAGTTTGCAAAAGTTCTATGTTTTTGTGGATGCCACTAATAAGCGGGACTGGACAGACGACTTTGTTGCTGTAGTATCACACTCAAAGCGGCAGCGTTTTACCTCTCAGATTCCAGGTGTAAGCTCTACTTTTTGATCACGCCTTTGTAAAAAGGCAAATCTGTTCTGGAGATTGATATATTGACTTCTTTGCAAAGTTATCTTAATTATGCAGGAATGGCTATGTTAGTAACCCTCAAAAAACAACGCAAATACACAAACATAACAGCCTGGCTTAGTGATTGAGAGCTCCAAGTCTGAAAGCAGACCGTTGGGTGTGAACTCCACCCTCTCAAAGCTGTAGTCTCCGTAACTTCTCTGCCTCAGTTTCCTCTCCTGTAAGATATAATAGAGTCTACCTCAAGGTTATTATGAAGATACACTCATTTGCCAATGCTGGAGGGGCGCTAAGATAGCAGTGGCATGTTATGTCATGTCTTAGCGCTGCATAAGGGCTTGTTTAAAAAATCCCATTGAAAACTTTTTCCCCCAGATCCAAACACAAGTTTAACAGTCATTCAGATTTCACTCCAGTCTAAACAAACGTATCTAATTACCTGCCAGAATAACCACCTTGAACTGACTCTAAGAGCTACAGTTACTTTGCAGCTAAAAAAGATTGTTCTCTCCCCACTAACAAACTCGGACATTTAGACAAATATTGCTGCTGTCTTTACATTTTAGAACTCAGTATTAAGGCTCACCTCTTACTGAATACATGAGAAAGAGTTTTGTTATGCGTATCTTATTATATACATCATGTACAAATTTTCACACTTTCACGTTTGCACATGATGTGTATAAGATACACATAAAAACTGGTTGGTTTGTCATGAGTAAATGCTTTAAATTCTTCAACGTGATGGAATATTGCATACAGAAAGTCGTTCCACATTTAATCTTGCTTTAGAAAATTAGGATTTATCTTGGACACAGCATTTTGAGTATAACAGCCAAGGTGAGTCCTTGGTGGTGAAATTGTATTTTTAAATTTATTATTAACGCTGTCTGTCGCATTCGAGAAAACACATTTGAAGAAGATGCCGGTGCATTTCCTTCAAGTGGTCACCTACCACTGAAGCACCCTCGGCTTCTACAAAGATGTGCTTTGAAGAGAACAGAGTGGACGTTCAGTAGGTTAGTCTAAACGACCTTGGGCAAGTACGTCTATTCCAAGGTACAATGAGCCCTCCCAGATGGCTTTTCAGGAGTCTCCCTAACCCAGGAGGGAGAGGACCGGAGCCAGAGCCCGGCTCCCGCTAGTTTTCTCGGGGGCAGGTGTAGCCCTGGGCGCGGGTTCGGGGGGAGGGGCAAGGGGCGGGCGTGGGGTTGGACTGGGACTTAGGACTCGGACCACGGGCTGGGCGTGGGCCTAACAACGCCGGCCCGGCCCGCCCTCGCCGCTCCATTGGCCACATCTGTGCAGAAAAAGCCCCGCGGCCCAGGGGCGCCCGTAGTGTCAGTAGGCCGGCTGGGGGGCTCTGGCTACGCAGTGTACCGCGACGGGCTAGAACACCGGCGGCGGCTTCGGGCCGGGAGACCCACGCAGCCCTCGGGGCACCTCCGTGCCCCGGGTCGGGGGAGGCGGCGCGTCCGGCGGAGGATTGCGGGGAGCGGGTCAGGCCTGGAGCGCCATGAGCAGCCCGGATGCGGGATACGCCAGTGACGACCAGAGCCAGACCCGGAGCGCGCTGCCCGCGGTGATGGCGGGGCTGGGCCCCTGCCCCTGGGCCGAGTCGCTGAGCCCCATCGGGGACATGAAGGTGAAGGGCGAGGCGCCGGCGAGCAGCGGAGCTCCGGCCGGGGCCGCGGGCCGAGCCAAGGGCGAGTCCCGTATCCGGCGGCCGATGAACGCCTTCATGGTGTGGGCTAAGGACGAGCGCAAGCGGCTGGCGCAGCAGAACCCCGACCTGCACAACGCCGAGCTGAGCAAGATGCTGGGTGAGTCCGGGTCGGGGACCCAGGCGGCTGCGCGCGAATCGCTAGGCGGCTTTCTTGAGCCCCAAACGGTGTTCTTTGCGAGCCTGACGCCAGAGACCAGGAGTGTGCAGCCGCCACGTCCTTCCTAAGGCCCTGCATTCCCTTCCCGCTTCCCGCTCTCCGACCCTCCAAAGCAGCTCTCCGCCTTGCTCTGCGGCGCCCCGATCCCCCGGTTGGCCCGGCCCGGGGCGCGGGTCCCACGGCCCTGGAAAGGCGGCTTCCTGGCACCTGTGGGCGGCGCGAGAGCACCCCTGGCTCTGAACTGGGCCGGTGGTGTCCCTCCCTCGACGCCTCCCAACCTAGGTGTCCTTTTCTGTTTTTCGATGGGAGGGCGGAAAGCGCTTCCAGGAGACCAAAAGAAAGGGGTGCCTGTAGAAGACGGGTCTTCCCCAAGGGCTCGGCCTCCGGGTCCCAGGACTCCCTCTTTCACTTGACCCGAGTGGCTCATTTCGAGGTGGGAGCGAAGAGGTGGGGCCGGGTGGGGCCAGGTGGGGCCAGGCGGGGCCTGGAGCTGGAGCGCAGCCGGTGAGCCCTGCGCCCCTGTCCCGCTTCCTCCGACCGCGCAGGCAAGTCGTGGAAGGCGCTGACGCTGGCGGAGAAGCGGCCCTTCGTGGAGGAGGCCGAGCGGCTGCGCGTGCAGCACATGCAGGACCACCCCAACTACAAGTACCGGCCGCGGCGGCGCAAGCAGGTGAAGCGTCTGAAGCGGGTGGAGGGCGGCTTCCTGCACAACCTGGCCGAGCCGCAGGCGGCGGCGCTGGGCCCCGAGGGCGGCCGCGTGGCGATGGACGGCCTGGGCCTCCCGTTCCCCGAGCAGGGCTTCCCCGCCGGCCCGCCGCTGCTGCCCCCTCACATGGGCGGCCACTACCGCGACTGCCAGGGTCTGGGCGCGGCCCCGCTCGACGGCTACCCGTTGCCCACGCCCGACACGTCCCCGCTGGACGGCGTGGACCCGGACCCGGCCTTCTTCGCCGCCCCGATGCCCGGGGACTGCCCGGCGGCCGGCGCCTACAGCTACGCGCAGGTCTCGGACTACGCGGGGCCCCCGGAGCCTCCCCCCGGCCCCATGCACCCCCGACTCGGCCCGGAGCCCTCGGGCCCCTCAATGCCGGGCCTCCTGGCGCCCCCCAGCGCCCTGCACATGTACTACGGCGCGATGGGCTCGCCCGGGGCGGGCGGGGGCCGCGGGTTCCAGATGCAGCCGCAGCCGCAGCACCAGCACCACCCCCCGGGCCCCGGGCAGCCGTCGCCCCCTCCGGAGGCACTGCCCTGCCGGGACGGCACGGACCCCAGCCAGCCCGCCGAGCTCCTCGGGGAGGTGGACCGCACGGAATTTGAACAGTATCTGCACTTCGTGTGCAAGCCCGAGATGGGCCTCCCCTACCAGGGGCATGACTCGAGTGTGACTCTCCCCGACAGCCACGGGGCCATTTCCTCCGTGGTGTCCGACGCCAGCTCCGCGGTGTATTACTGCAACTATCCTGATGTGTGACAAGTCCCCGATCCGCCCCAGCCTGCAGGCCAGAAGCAGTGTTACACACTTCCTGGAGAGCTAAGGAAATCCTCAGCCTCATGGGCTTTTTTGTTGTTGTTTCTTAAAGGTGTCTTGGCATATAATTTATGGTAATTTATTTTGTCTGCCACTTTGGGGGGGGTGAGGTTTCATTTAAAATTTGTTCAGAGATTTGTTTCCCATAGTCGCATTGTCAAAAGCCTATTTCCAAGTTCAAGTTAACCAGCTTTGACTGTGTCCCAAAACAGCTTCCTCCATTTCCTGAAAGTTTATTGATCAAAGAAATGTTGTCCCGATTGTGCTTTTTTTTCAGTCTTCTAAAAAATAAGATCAGGAATCCTGCTTTTTCGCTCTACAAGTACCTCTGTCACACTAGTCTTATTAAAAAAAACAAACAAACAGTTTTTAAGATCAATGTTAAATGTTACTAATGTAAATTTCTCATCCTCTTAAAAAGGGTGAACATAAATGCCTTCACGGAGTATCTCTAAAAATAAACATGAGAATATCTAAGTTTGATGTAATTGTTTCGGGAAAGGAAAAAAGAAAAGCATCCTGAATGACCCTACTTCATTTCAAGTAATCTTAGTTTCTGAAACTAATGGTTAATATTTTCCATTCCAGAATATCACTTAAACTAGAAGGGGATGTCCAAGTAATTTTGATTTTCTAATTGTTGAATCGTAACCTTGACCTGCCTACAAAGGCTTTTCGGGTGTTTTTTAATCTGTGTTCTGTCATCTCTTTACACTCCTCAACATTGAGTTTGCCTTTAATCTTCACATTTTCACACCTTGGGAAGTGGTGTTGCTGGGTTTAAAATAAAGGAGTCACAGAAGCAAATTAAAATAAAATTTGCATTAAAATGTTTAATATACTTTAGCATTGTTTTTATGTTTAATACACACATGGATGACTGCACAGACTCGGGGGAGGATCCGTGAATGGTTGGTGTGTAGTGTCCTACAAATTCAGCTAAAGCTACCACGGACCCTATCGTACCACCATCATTACCTTACGAAGAGACAGTTAACAGGGTTGTGAGTAAAAGATGGGGATCAGCCCCTGTAATCTGCCATGCTAATAACTGTGGCACGTCTTACCACATTTTACAGATTGAGACATACATGGAAACAGGTGACTTAAATGGGCATTTCCTGTGCCAGACGTTTGTTCAATGCCTTTCTGAACAGCTTTTGAGCCTCAGCAAGCCTGCAGACTTAAGTGCTATTCTTTCCCTTTTGCAAGTGAGAAAAGGAGGCGTTAGGCCCTCCCCTGCCATGTATCTGAAGGCTTGTATTACAAGTTCTTATGACATATTTCTTCCCTGATTTCCTCTGGACCAGGGTGTATTCATGGGCACTGGGTGAATTTACATCTGATGGTGAGAAACTATAATTAGCCTAACCAGCAAGTGCTATAGAAAAAGGAAAGGCTTGAGGACAGCTTTAAGCATTTACATGAGAGAGATGTCTGAGCCGAAATGATCGGCTGGATTGTGCTGAAAAAAGGCGTGGAATATGTTTCTCTGAAGGGATTCCTAGAAAGTGAAGCATAGACAGTTTCAATGAGGAAAGGTAAGTCTATTTTGTTACGCATAACAGGCTTTCTTTAAAAAGGTTAAATTCTTTCTAATTCAGCTCAGTTGAGTTGTTTCCTGCGTCCAGCCTGAGCTCCTTACCCAGGGTGTCCCGAGAGTTCCCAGCAGATAAAGTGGGCCAAAGAGCTACCAGCCCAGGTTCAGAGCCATGCGCAGATGACGCTTGGCGTGTTCGTCACACTTAGCCCAGGGAAACTCAGCTGTACATTGGCTGCCACCTCTTAACAATATTCAGATAAGTACAAAAAAGAGTTCTTAGGGGAAGGATCTAAAGTCCTATTAAATTGCATTCTTAACTATTCACCAAATGCCAGTGGAAAAGCAGTAAGAGCTAAAATTGCTGAGGTAATATCCATGCATTTACATGGATGGAGGGATTGGTCTTCACAAAGAATTTTTTGGGGTAGAGGCATCAAGCCAATTATTTCTCTTTCCTCAAGCACTCAGATCAAGTGACTGCAGGTAGCAGCTAGTGATTTTTTTTTTAATTCTTAATTTTTATGGATACGTAGTATATATATGGGGTACATGAAATGTTTTGATAGAGGTACGCAATGTGTAATAATCACATTATGTAAAATGCAATATTCATTCCCTCCAGCATTTATCCTTTGTGTTACAATCCAATTGTACTCCTTAGTTATTTAAAAATGTACAATTAAATTATTATTGACTACAGTCACCCTGTTGTGCTATCACATACTAGGTCTTATTCCTTCTGTTTTTTCTGTTTTTTGGTAGTTTCAAATTACCAAAAAAAGGATCAAAATAGTTGGTATCCTTAAACCTTTTCTCATTTTAAAGTACAGGGATGTGGGCCCTGGTGGCAAAATTAGAAATTGAGCTTCGGGGGCCATTAAAGACCATTACGGTTTTAAAGTGAAAGAAGGTAAAACTTCTGTTGGACGACTCTATGTCATCACCAAGTGCACAGACCCCCCCCCACCATGACATCACCAAATGCATAAATCTCTGTGACATCACCTAAGTGCTGGATACCCTCATGACATCACCAAGTATGTAGACCCCTGTATTTCCTCAAGTAGATTCAGATGAAGTGACCACAGGTACCAGCTAGTGATTTTTGGAGACAAAACATTAAATCTATTTCAAGTTTTTACTGTTTTATTTTGGAGACAAATATACATAAAGGATACATTGCTTTTCTCCCCATATCTACTTTTGGTGCTTTAGAATTACATTAGGAGGTAAGAACCCAGCTCTTTTATGAGCTAAGATAGCCAGACTTGATGCCAGTATAGAATGTGCATCCGGAGCCTTTAGGAAGAGAGTATTTTTCCCCTATGAGAACACCGACTGCATCTCTGTTAAAGCTACTGGGTGGGTCTGACAAGTTACAGAAAAACTTGTCAATTACTTATACAAGCTGCTAAGAGATAATATTACAATGAAACAATTTACTTATTCTTATCAGTAGATGATTGTACCTTCAGTTTGAATCCCGCTGCACAAGATATCAGCTTGAATTTGTACTGATATTAGGAAAAACAGGTACAAGCCAAAGGAATTCAGATAAAATGAAAGGGGTACAATGAACCAAAAGACATCATCTCAGCCTAACATTTAACAATGTCCCATTTCATTTTGATTTTGTTTTTAGTACTGTGCCTGTCACATAATAGACGTTCAACATTCCCTTCCTCCCCCTGTTCCTCTCTGATTTGTTTTGACAATAGTGGACAGGGAGAAGTATTTTACATCCATTATTTCAGCACAAATTTATTTTTCCTGCTTACAAGGTGCTTCCTTCTGGGTCCACAATATTCATCTGAAGAAAAATGGCACTGATCTTCCTACCCAGTCCCCATCTGGAGTGGGCTCAAGTTCCTCGGTAGTGTAGACTCCTAATGGACAGAGTATTTCTTTAGGTCTTCTGGCCTGGAATCCAGCAGCATCTCAATTTTTCACTATAACCCTGCCCTCCTTCTAATGAGAAGGTGGCTGTGAGCTTTCTTCAGAATTATCAAGCAGCTTTATGGGGATAATTCAGTTAGCACAATCCTCCATAGACAAAAACTGGACCCTCACCACTGCTATTTCTCCCAGCTTGGTTCAAGATACTGGAAACTAAAATGTCTTAGTGCAGCACCTAGTACACAGCAAGTGCTAAAAAGTTGTTGTGATGATAGTGATGTTCTTTAATGAAAAGTTTTCTCTGTAGCTCAGATCCAATAAAATACTTTAAAAATCTCTTCTTGCTGAAGAAATTTTGGCTTTGACAATCTTATTTCCACTTGAATCAAAGTCTTAAACATCTTTGCCAAAGTTGACCTCCTAGCAAGTATTCCCCAAATTGATGCTGAAAATGATGATCTTGTGATGACACTGGGTGGAGGTTCAGATATGAAAAAAAATTAAACATCAGTAGCGGTGCCGCGGATCCTACTTCTGTGAGTCAGTGCCCGCCCATAAGCCTGATAAATGTTAAGCAAGGACAAGAGCCATGGTGCCTGCGCAGTTAAGCCCAGCAGTTTTCTGCTCTCAGGTAGGGATTGTCTCATTTTCACTGTTACCTGACTTGGCACAGGTAAGTGCTCAGAAAACTGAGTAACTTGGTAGGTGGTACCTCAGTTTTCTCTTGGGAAGCCCCAAGGGAACTCAAGAGTTCCTGCTTTGCCTGTCTTTTCTCTTTGAGACAGTCACCTGGTAGCTATTATTCCCTTCTCTTAAATAATGTATCTGGACATGAAAATTTAACCCCAGACTGTAAACCACTGGAGCGAGGACTAGAGAATAGCTCTATGGATAAAGCCAGCTGTGTCTGTCCTCCGGAGGAAGAAAAGTCTCTGCAGTCTGGCTCAGAAACTTAGCTTTGTGAGTTTGGAGACATCAGCGACCATTTCTGCACTCCATCCGGCTCATCTGTAAAAAGCAGGGGTGACTGTAAAACATTTAGCCAAAGTTGACTCTGGATAATGACTGAAAGCTTCAGTGAATTGTTGTAGGGATTAGACGAGATTACGCTGAAGGAAGTGCTTTGGTGCCACAGAAAGTGATCTCTCTCCCTCTCTCCCACTTCCATACCTTTTGATTTTATGTATCTCTGTCTCAGCTGACTTGGGGTATTTAATTTCATTCTTCCTTTAGGAAAGAAAAAACAACGGTAACTTACACCCCCCACACCCTACCCCCCCCGCCCCCCCCCACACCCCTGCTTTCCTTAAGTGGAATGGGAATTTTACAGCCTTGTAAGATTGTGTTTGCTGGAGACACGGCATCTGTGTTTTACTTTGTGCTTTGGACAGCTCAGTCTCTTTGATTATAAAATGAGAAAAAAAAAATGTCAGTTGGAGGACTTTGTATATAATGTCTTAATACATAGGAACTCCAATTTTGCATGAAAATCTTAAGATCTTTATAAAAGGGACAGTTAATTGGGACATAATGAATGCAATAGCAAGTTTGCCAAGATTTCTCTTTCTGTTAGCCCCTCCTCCCACAGTATGGTTTCTTAAGTCCTGAGTCATATTTCCATGCCATTTACTTTTTGAGAACTGAACAGAGTCTGAATTATTGAGGATAAATAAGCAGAGTGTAATGGAGAAAACAGCAAATTAAGAAAAGATTCTGGCTTCCAGTAATTCCAGGTAATACTGAAACACGATCTGCAGGCTTTTAAATTCCTCAGTCCTCAGAAGTTATTTCTATGAACTGATGGATGTGGATGGACCGACGGGAAGATAATTAGTAGACACCAGCAAAATGAAAGGAGCAATTTTATAGCTGCCCCCTATATAGTGGATTCTTCAGCTTTTTAAAATAAATATTTGTTTGGATGTTTGAATACAACAGCAAGGATCAGAGGTTCACACGAGTGCACTAAGAATATCGACCTGAAAAAGCATACTGAGATTACAGGAAGGAGAAATAGAAAATAAAAATTTAGGTTTGTAGTTTCAATAAAGAGGGTGAGTATAGAAAACTTATAGTTTATTCATTTAAAAATAATTTTAAAAATGTAAATGATTCACATGGTTACAAAAACTCAAACAACATGGCAGACAGGCTTGTAATATGCACAGAGTCGTCAGAAGTTCTCATCTCTCCGCAGTCCCGTTTCCACAGGTCAGAATCAATCCTTTTTCCCCTCACACCGGGCATTGCCTACATTGATAATTCTGCTTGTCTAGTGGTTAATTAATTAACATGCCTGCGTGGCTAAGTTTAGACTTATGAGTTTTAGACATTTGCTTTCTGCTAGGACAGCTAAGAATCTAAGAATTTCCTGCCCCGCTCTTCCTTGGAGAATGGTTACATCTCTATTTCCACTTCTGTTACTGCCTTTTAAAGTCCAGGACTACATACCGTTTTCTTGTTCCATCTCGAAGGCGGGAAGTCTTGATTCCTAACTGGGAAAGGTGAAGACATCCGTGCCTCCACCCTTCCCTGAAGCGCTGCTCCTCTCTTCGGCGGAGATGGATTTTTAAAAACAGATGGGGTGGGGGGCAGGACACGGAATATTGATGCACGCGTCATATGAAAAGGTACACACACACACACACACACACACACACACACACACACACAGAGGCTACAGCATGATCAATCCCAGACAATTGGAGCCGCTTACGGCCATGGTCGTGACTTTAAATTCACTCACTTCTTACATCCACTAGGAAAGAGAATTCGTTTCCCTAAATCTTATAAAAGGGGCTAGCCTTAGGCGCAGTGGCAGCCCGGTTCCCCGCACCCTCCTGCCCTCCGGTGCCAGGCTGCGGAGTACTCGCGCGGGCCTACAAAGCGCTAGACTTTGCTCCCGCTGCTAATTAGGGCGCAATAACGAGGCTCTGGATTCACTTTAACTTAAAAAGTAAAAGATCTTAGGTCTGATGGTGCTGGGGGAAAGGCGTGGGCAGTGGGGCGAGGAGAACTCGGCCAGCGGGGGCCCCACCCGCGCGGCCACCGCTGTCCCCAAGACGAGACTGCGACGTCGCGCGCCCGCTTCGAGGGGTTTTGAGCTCTTGGCTTAGTGCCGCGGTCCGCCCAGCGCTAGAAGAAAGTGCTCGTGAACTCGGCCTAAGCCACGGTGACTCGAAGGTGAGAACGCGGCTTCGCAGTGCGCCGGCTTCGAAGTCCGCCTGCCGCGCGGAGGCTTCGGAAAGTCCCAGGGCGACCTTTACTCCGAGGAGGGAAGGGGCAGGGGGTCTGGGCCTCGGCACGGTCTTTCCTGTGAAGGGGAAATTCAAACCCTGTAGCCGCCCGCTGCCAGGTGGGAATCTGGCGATGCTCTGCGCCCGAGTTCTCCAAGGTACAGGTGGAGCCTGGCGGCGGGAACCCAGGTTCTCCAAGGCGGGATGGTCTCAGCAGAGGCCCCGCGCCCCTGTGCGCCCGCAGTGTCGCTGGGCCGGTGGTGGTGCTGGCTACGGCGTGGGCTGGGACTGGCCCGGAACGCTGATGGCGGGTTCGGCCTGGGAGACCCGCGCAGCCCTCAGCCATCTCAGTGCCTGTATCCCTACCCGCTCCGCCGGGTCGGGGGAGGCTGCGCGTCCGGCGGAGAGTTGCGGGGGGCTCGGGACAGGCCTAGGGCGCCAAGAGCAGCCCGGATGCGGGATACGCCAGTGATGACCAGAGTCAGACCCCGATCGCGCTGCCCGCGGTGACTGCCGAGCTGGGCCCCTGTCCCCGGGCCGAGTCGCCGAGCTCCCTCCGGGACTCGAAGGTGAAGGGGGAGGCGCCGGCAAGCAGCTGAGCGCCGGCCGGGGCGGCGGGCCGAGCCAAGGGCGAGTCTCGCATCCGGCGCCTTCCAGGTGGGGCGAAGGTCGAGCGCCAGAAGCTGGCAAGGGACCCCCGCCCAGCTTGACGCCCAGCTGCGCCCGACGCCAGGGGAGGCGGAGCGCGGGGAACCGAGGCGCCGGGAGCCCCGGACGTGGGAGGGCTGGGCTTCTGCGCGGGGAGACGCCGGGCTCGGCGAACATCCGCACTAGCCGGTCGGTGGCTCTACCTCCGAGAGCTCTCTCCTATCTAGTGATTCTCATATTTACTGTTTCCCTTTAGGGGAACTTGATCGGCAAGTGCAGAAACGTCTTAGGGGCTGGAGATGACATTAAATAAAAAGTTTTAAAACCAAGTTGTTAATTATCTCTAGGTATAAATGATACACAAAATTTTGCAGTCTTGAGAGAAAGGTTTTAATGTGCCTCCTAATCAGGCCAGGTTCTGCAAAACAAAACAAACAACCCTATTTCAAGTTAAAAAGAATGCCCTTATTCCAGGTTAAAAAAAAAAAAGTTGTATTCCTTTTTCATTTATCGAGTAAATAAGGGTGCTGACTTATTACAGATTCAAACTTCTCGCCACAAATGGACCTGGAAATGCATTTAACAGCCTTTCAGGAAAAACCTAAAGCTTTAGAATTTCAAGCCAGCCAGGTTGCAATCTTTTTTTAAGAAGGAGTTTTGCTTACCTCTTGTTGCCCAGGCTGGAGTACAATGGCGTGATCTTGGCTCTCCGAAACCTCCGACTCCCGGGTTCAAGCGATTCTCCTGCCTCAGCCTCCCCCCGAGTAGCTGAAATTACAGACATGCGCCACCACGCCCGGCTAATTTTGTGTTTTAAGTAGAGACGGGGTTTCTCCATGTTGGTCAGGCTGGTCTCGAACTCCGGACCTCAGGTAATCCGCCCGCCTCGGCCTCCCAAAGAAATTGGATTACAGGCATGAGCCGCTGCGCCTGGCCCCAGGTTGCAATCTTGATCTCTTTTTGTTGCTGAAGTTTTGGAGAGTGTGACCTCTACCTGTAGGTCTTTTGACGTTAATAGGGAGCGGCTTTTCTGTTTGTTTATTTTTTGAGATAGGGTCTCGTTCTGTTGCCCAAGCTGGAGTGCAGTGGCGCATCCCAGCTTACTACAACCTCGACCTCCTGGGTTCAAGCGATCCTCCTGCCTCTGCCTCCCAAAGTACTGGAATTACAGGCGTCGGCCACTGCGCCCGGCCTGTTTTGCTTTTAAGAGAAAGAATAACGTGGCCAGAGTTTGTTTATTGTTTGAGACGGAGTTTAGCTCTGTCGCCCAGGCTAGAGTACAGAGCCTATGTTGGCTCATTGCAACCTCTGCCTCCCGAGTTCAAGCGATTCTCCTGCCCCAGCCTCCCCGGTAGGTGGGATGACAGGCGCGCGACACCCCCTCCCAATTGTTTTATTGAGAGAGATTTATTTATTTAGTAGAGACGGGGTTTGACTATATTGGTCAGTCTGGTCTTGAACTCCTGACCTCAAGTAATCCATTCGCCTTGGCCTCCCAAATTGTTGGGATTACAGGTGTAAGCCACCGCGCCCGGGCTTTTTGCTTTTAAGAGAAGAAATAAAATGGCTGGAGTTTATTTTAATCAAACCAGTCTGAAACCCTTTATCTTCTTCATCATAGCTTTATTTAAAATTTACTTATTCCATAAAAATGTAAACAGCATTTGAATAGAAAAGTTTCCCTGCCCCAGTCCCAACTTTAGACATCATAATTGCTTACTATGTCCTGTGTTCCCGTTCACACGTTTTCTGTCTACAGTCATACAAAGGAATTTCTTCCCCAACCCCCATGGGATCACATTTTCCTATTATTCTGAAACTTGCTTTTTCAGTTAACTGTATACATTCGGTGGTCTTGTATTCCTAGAAGATGGACTTCGTTTTACTGGTTGATTGTCTTCTCCATTCTTCCCTGGGATCAGCCCCACTTGTACCGTCTCCAGTCCATTGTCGGTTTGTGACTTAATCCTTTACATCAAGTACAATCTGAGCCCTGAGGCCCCTCACACACGCACAAATTGAGTTTATGCACAGAACAGATAGTACCTGTACTTAAACGTAGAGGACTCACTGGGAGCACGTTTCACTCCGCAAGGAGCAAAAATTGTGCACATCATAAGCGCAATATTTTTACAAGATGGGTGCTTTCTGTGCCTCAGGGGGGGCTGGCAGAGAGAGGTGCATGGAAAACTTTTTTGTTTAGGTTACTTCCTCCTGGAGAATTGTCCCTCCGTTGCCTGCTTACCGAGTCAGGTGCCTGGCCTGCGTGGATGGCTTGTTGGCATTTCCCGGACCCTCTTGTCATAAGGCTGAGACCTGAGAAGCCAATTCTGTCCCGGAGGTGAGATCTGCCCGGATAATCGTAGGCTGACGGGCTCCCAGCTCTGGCGCGATGGTTGACGTGTACCTCCCCTTTCACACTGTGTTCGTCTGGGTGATAAAGTGTGTGGGGCGCCTCTCTGCCAGCTCCCTGTCCTCTTGGGAAATGTCTGCGCTTTGTGAGTTTGGGAATCGGCTGGGGACCCAGGGAGGTGGGTACGGGCGGAGGAGCTGCCTTCCTCGGGGAGGCGGCGCAGCGCGGGGTTACTTAGGGGACCAGGCCAGCGACCAGAACCGGCCCCCCACCCCTGGGAGGCCTGGGCTTGCCCTTCCCGGCGTGTCCGTGGCTGCGCCGCACGCGGCTCTGGGTGCGCTCCCGCTCCACCGCCGCTGCCGCCCACGCCCTACGTCCCCGCCTGGCAGCCTGGAGCCGGACCCCGCCTCCCTCGCCCCGAGATGCCCGGGGCCTGCCGGGCGCCTGCAGCTAAGCGCGGATCTCCACTGCAAGCCCTCGGTCCCCGCCTTGCCGGGCCTACTGGCGCCCCCCGGCGCGGTGCGTGTGAACTGTGGGCGATAGTCTCGCCCGAGGCGGGCGGCGAGCGCTGCTTCCAGATGCAGCCACCGCGACAGCACCCGGCGCGCCGGGACAGCGGTCGCCCCTCCGGATACTCGACCTTCGGGACGGCGCGGACCCCAGGCAGCCCGCCCGGTCTCCTGGGAACAGCCCAGGCGCGCGTGCCGACTTTAACGCCGGTTCCTCTGAGTTTCTTTAGCAGTTTACCACGTATAACTAAGCCTGTCTTTCTCAGAAGGAACCTTCCGGTAAGGACAGTGTTCAATATTGTTAACGTATCAAAGGAGGCCATGAAAATGTGCTCTGCTTAAGCATATGCAAAATCAATCTATTGCCATTTTCTACTTATGCACATTATTTTTTGCATTAAAGTTTGATTATTTTAAAAGTGGAAAATTAATGGGCAGTGGCAGAAACCGATTTTGTTCCTCCAAAAGTTACCTTCTGCCAACTCGTTTTAGACGTTTTACTAACAATTATTATCTTCTGCATTTTAAGTTATTATTTCTAAAGTTCTTGGTTACTGACATCTTGTAAGTTTGAAAAATAACATTTTTCTTAAAAAATTACGTGTGTATGTAGGTTTTGTATTCTGCAAAATTAACTGAAGAGAGTGTGTGTAACTGAAGAGAGAGAGAGAGAAAGAAAGAGAGAGAGAGACAGAGAGAGAGAGTGTGTGTATGTGTGAGGCCCCGCAGGAAGCAGCTAACGTACTTAAAGGGGGCCTGAAGAAAGATCAGGAATGGTCTATACATGTGAACCCATCTAGGGACTGGAAGCATCCTGGGCTCCAGGCGCTCAAAGCTCCACTTATCAGGCCTGACTGGGATGATGGCAAAGCAGTCCCTGGAGCTCACAGTGACCTTGGCTTTAGTAGTCCTGCCAGCCAGGAGCTCTGACCTTGGGACGTCGAGCAAAACTACTGCTGATTGTGGCCTCGAAGGATGGGACCAGGAACTAAATCCTGGAGAAATATCCTGTTGCCCACCTGATATCCTGGCCAAACCTGCAAACCAGAGGACCCGAGGCCTGTGGACGCAGGCACCGGGAGAGGGCAGGGAGAGGGCATATTCCGGGTGACACCCAGGTGGAAAGGACCAGGCTTTCCTATAAGCAGCTTCATGGGAGGGCGTTTAGCAGAGCATCTAAGAATGAAGTGAATAAAATGGACCACCGTACTATGGGTGTGCAGTGTCAGGGATGGGAGGATAGAATCTTAGCTGCTGCTTTTCTCATCCTCAATAACTTTATGGCCCAGATGGGGACCCAAGTAAAAATGAATAACAATACAACATTCTCGGGTGGAAGGTTCCTTCCCTATTTTCTCCGGCTGACATCACTTCCTAGAAAGGTTGAGTGACATCCTCTTAAGAGCTTGTGTTTTGCCCCTTCAATGTGAGAAGTTTGAAATACTAGTTTCTCTTTTTTTTTTTTTTTTTTGAGACGGAGTTTCGCTCTTGTTACCCAGGCTGGAGTGCAATGGCGCGATCTCGGCTCACCGCAACCTCCGCCTCCTGGGTTCAGGCAATTCTCCTGCCTCAGCCTCCTGAGTAGCTGGGATTACAGGCACGCGCCACCATGCCCAGCTAATTTTTGGTATTTTTAGTAGAGACGAGGTTTCACCATGTTGACCAGGATGGTCTCGATCTCTTGACCTCGTGATTCACCCGCCTCGGCCTCCCAAAGTGCTGGGATTACAGGCTTGAGCCACTGCGCCCGGCCGCCCTGAAATACTAGTTTCTAAAGGTTGGGGTAGATTAGTACCTGTGGAGTGAGCTAGTAAAATGGATTAATAAATGCCGTTCTCCATGATAAACATAGAGTGTATATCTTGCTACTTTTCATACTACTTACTTAAGACTTTGAATGAGCTTGGCTACTTTCAGACCAAAAATTAGCTATGGTTTTCAAAAGAGCTCTGTAATGTTTGAGTGCTTTTCCCTGGAATCAAGGATGTGGATGTCGGGTGAATGATTTTTGTAGAGGGTTTCTAAAACTGGTTTTTCAGGAAGCATGTTCGTGATTAAAGGTGTAGCTCTATTCTCTGCATTCTTATTAAATAAATTTTGAGCCAGGCGCGGTGGCTCAAGCCTGTAATCCCAGCACTTTGGGAGGCCAAGGCGGGTGGATCACGAGGTCAAGAGATTGAGACCATCCTGGTCAACAAGGTGAAACCCCGTCTCTACTAGAAATACAAAAAGTTAGCTGGGCATGGTGGTGCGTGCCTGTAATCCCAGCTACTCAGGAGGCTGAGACAGGAGCACTGCCTGAACCCAGGAGGCGGAGGTTGCGGTGAGCCGAGATCGCGCCATTGCACTCCAGCCTGGGTAACAAGAGCGAAACTCCGTCTCAAAAATAAATAAATAAATAAATAAATAAATAAATTTTGAAATGAAATACTGTCATATCACATGACCAGCACTGTATTGCAGTTTAAGAATCGAGGACACAGCTCCCTTTTTGTGCTCTCAGATGGGATGTGACGGTGGCAATTGTTGCTGCCTCTCCAGCAGAGCTTTGGTTTTCCTTTGGGGAACTTGCTCTTCCAGCATTGTCAGCCGGAAGGTCTGGATGGAGGCCACTGGGGTGAGCCTTGAAGGTCTCAAGCTTGTTGGCATTGACTATTCCCTGCCCTCCCCACCCCGCCCTGTTATCGAGTTAAAGGAGAGATGTGACTCACAGGCAGGTGGATCACCTGAGGTCAGGGGTTTGAGACCAGCCTGACCAACATGGAGAAACCCCGTCTCTACTAAAAATACAAAAATTAGCAGAGTGTGGTGGCACTTGCCTGTAATCCCAGCTACTTAGGAGACTGAGGCAGGAGAATCGCTTGAACCCGGGAGGCGGAGGTTGCAGTGAGCCGAGATTGCAGCATTGCACTCCAGCTTGGGTGACAGAGTGAGACTCTATCTCAAAAAAAAAAAAAAATGTTGGGGGTAGTGACTGGAGGCAGCCCTCCTTGGACACAGCGGGGCTGATGGTCTATAACCAACACAGCCGTTTTCATGAGCATTGGGCCAGGAGACTACCAGTGAAGAATGGACACAAAGCCATCGTGGTGGGAGGGAAAGCAAGGACACAGAGAACCTGGATCCCAGGTGACAGTACTGAACCCCAGAATCAAACCCAGGGGGTGAGTTGTACCTCTGACTACTTCAGTTACATGAGCAAATGCAGTTCATTTACTATGAGCTTGTTTTCCTTTCACTGGAAACAAAAGGATTCATAACAGATAATCAGGGAAGAGGGCAGGCTAGAGCAGTGATGCTAATTCTACTGGCTGGCACAAGGAGATACCAAATATGGAATTTCCTTGAACCACTGGCATTTGTATTGCAGGAGATCATCCAGAAATGCTGGATCTCAGACCATCTTGGCACTTCGACTTCAGATTGGTCCAGAACAATACCTTTCAAATGAATATGCATGCAGACCTCCCGGGGATCTTGCTAAAATGAAGTTCCAAGATTCTGCACTTCTAGCAAGTTCTCGGGCTGGGCTGACCGATCATACTCAGAGAGCAAAGCCCTGATCTACACTTACTTCATAGGGATCATTCTTTTTCTTTTTCTTTCTTTTCTTTCTTTCTTTCTTTATTTTTTGAGACGGAGTTTTGCTCTTGTTACCCAGGCTGGAGTGCAATGGCGCGATCTCTGCTCACCGCAACCTCCGCCTCCTGGGTTTGGGCAATTCTCTTGCCTCAGCCTCCTGAATAGCTGGGATTACAGGCACGTACCACCACGCCCAGCTAATTTTTTGTATTTTCAGTAGAGACGGGGTTTCACCATGTTGACCAGGATGGTCTCGATCTCTTGACCTCGTGATCCACCCGCCTTGGCCTCCCAAAGTGCTGGGATTACAGGCATGAGCCACCGCGCCCGGCTCTTTTCTTTATTATTATTATTTGTTTGAGATAGGAGGTTTGCTCTTGTCACCCACACTGGAGTGCAATGTTGCAATCCTGGCTTACTGCAACCTTCACCTTCTGAGTTCAAGCGATTCACCTGCCTCAGCCTCCCAAATAGCTGGGATTACAGGCATGCACCACCACGCCTGGCTAATTTTGTATTTTTAGTAGAGACGGGGTTTCTCCATGTTGGTTAGGCTGGTCTCGAACTCCCGACCTCAGGCGATCTGCCTGCCTCAGCCTCTCAAAGTGCTGGGCCTTAGGGACCATTCTTAACCTAAAATACTTCAAGTTCAGGAATGGACACTGAAGAGTCATTTCAGAAAAGTCACTAGATGAGAATCTTGGGTCATGTCTCCTTGGCTCCTTACCTCGGCACGGCCTGTCCTCCAGACCCACCAAGGTCTTTCTTTTCTCCAAAGTCTTATCAATGATGTAGTTAGATTCAGACTGCTGTGGGCTGACAACACATACACCCTGTTGGCGAGTGGCGAGCAGCCCCCACTTCCTCCAAGCACTGCCCAATTCATTATTGCTCATCATTTCATGAATCTGTCTCTGGTTTGCTTGTCTCTCTTACTAGATTAGAATCGGACTCTTGCTGTAACACAACATATTGAATTAGATACTGAGTTTCTACCTTCTATAAGCCAGTGATTCTCAAAGCAGGTTGCAAACTGCAATCAGTGGAAGCTTTAAAAAAAAGACCGAGGCTTGGTCCGGCCCCTTGAGATTCTGATTTAATTGGTTTGGCCTGCAGTCAGGGTGTTTCAGTTTTAAAATCTCTTGAAGTGTTGCTAATTGCTGTCATAAATAGATGAACATAATTGATATCACAGAGCTACCTGAGAAGTCAGTTACTTATTTAGGTATTTATTTCATCAAATGTTTACAGAACTTCTATATGCCAGACACTGCACTGTCTTCAAAGATAAGGCACATATATTTCCTGTCCTAACGGAGCTTGTCATCCTGTAGAAGGGAAAGATGTATAGACAAATAACTGTAATGGTGTGTTCAATGCCAGAAAAAGTATTAAAACTACGGCAAAAGCGATCCTCTGGCAGAGTGATGGATTCCATGTAAAGGGGCATGGGATAAACCTAATAATGGCTAACTATGGAAGAAGACGGCCTCCAGTGAGTACTGATGTGTGCGTGAGGCCTTGAAGGAGGAGGGAGCCCAGTGAGGAAGGTGGGTGGGAGACGGGGTGAGGAAGGTTTTCCTGGGTTGAGGTTGGGGGATTTGTGGATGAGAGGGTGGAGAAGCTGAGGGGTTTCCCTTCTGTTTTCTTTGTGAAATCAGAGTGGAGTGTCCTTCAGGCTGGTGTGAGCAGAAGCT